AGAATAAGAACATAAGAGACGGCAATGTTGGATCAGGCCAAAGGCCCATCCAGTCCAACACCCTGTGTCACACAGTGGCCAAAAATACCAGGTGCCATCAGGAGGTCCACCAGTGGGGCCAGGACATTAGAAGTCCTCCCACTGTTGGCCCCCCCAAGCACCAAGAAGACAGAGCATCCCTTGCCCCAGAGCCCCTATCTATACCTTGTGGCTAATAGCCACTGATGGAACTCTGCTCTAATTCCCTTTTGAAGCCGTCCATGCTTGTAGCCACCACCACCTCCTGTGGCAGTGAATTCCATGTGTGAATCACTCTTTGGGTGAAGAAGTACTTCCTTTTATCCGTTCTACCCCGACCGCTCAGCAATTTCATGGAGGGCCCACGAGTTCTTGTATTGTGAGAAAGGGAGAAAAGTTCCTCTTTCTCTACCTGTTCTTTCCCATGCATAATCTTGTAAACCTCAATCATGTCACCCCTCAGTCGTCTTTTCTCCAAGCTAAAGAGCCCTAAGCGCTTTAACCTTTCCTCATAGGGAAAGTGTTCCAACCCTTTTATCATCCGAGTTGCCCTTTTCTGCTATTGAACCAGCTATTGTTTACTGATCAAAATTAAAACATACTCTAAGGCTGGGATTTATGGGATAAGCTCTTCAGATGAGACTAAGGAACCAGGGTCCTGCTTTTGACGTTAGCACCAGCCGGTGCCTGGTCTGGCTGTCCCAGCAGCCTGTGGCCGGGGCGGCCCACAGAAGTCCAGAACCAGGCGAAGAGCGGGGAGTGCGTCAACCCCTGGCATGGCCCTGTTGGCTTAGGGGTTTCTCCAAAGCGTCCGAATGCTCGAAATCGGTTGGGTTCTTCTCTTCCCATCCCAGAAATATTTCTGTGTAAACTGGGAGCCAAGCGTGATTGCTGTTCACCCCCAGAGGCAGGATTCCCTGACCTTTCTGTAGCCTCCAGCCCTCTGTAAATCTTCACCGCCACCCCGTCTCCCAGCGAGCCAAAAAGCGTCACCTTGTTTCCGCGTGCTGAAACTGAATGGCCGGCTTGTCAGTGGTGCCCGTTCCAGAAACGCCAGCTGGGTTCTGCTTTTTCGATTCCTTCCTCACAATAGACTCGCTGATACGCTTCCTTCTCTTTCCGCTTCAGAATTCTCTGGCAACTCCGCGCGCCCTTTCCGAAGAGAGATAAGGGACGTGCGCTTTAAAAGCCAACGCTCTGAAGGGGTCTGAAAGATTGAAATGGGAACTGTCTCTTTCTCCAGGGATGAGAGTCTGGTTAATACAGACATTATTATTTATTTAGAACGTTTCCCGCTCTACTTTCTCCACAGCGATCCCGGCAGCTTGCAAGTAGAAAGGCTAATAATGTCTCTGCCTGAAACACGCCAGAGTGCGCTGTGCCATCATCTTCTCAATGCACGGCCTCTGCCAGTTTTACTGACTGCCATCTAAGTGCCTTGCCTGAGGGTTAAGACGAGTGAGATCCAGTACGTTGTAGTGGTTAGAGCCAATGCTCCCTCTAAGCTGTAGAGTCTTACGAGCAAAAATTCTACTTTGTGAACTAACTGGCATTAAAGTTGTGAGGAAGTGATCTGGTGACTGCATAATTTAGTTTGCTCTGGAGCCATCCTTCCTGAGCTAAGACAAAAATGTATGAGCCAGAGGCTAAAAAACTGTGAGCTGGCTCACACTAACTCAGCTTAGAGGGAACACTGGCTAGAGCATCAGCCTAGGACTGGGGAGGCCCAAGTTCAAATCGACGTTAAGCCCTGAAGCTCGCTGGGTGACCGTGGGTCTGTCATTTCTTTCTCCGCTCAACATAACTCCTCCAGTGAGGGTAAGATGGCGAGAAGAATGACAGTGTCCCAGGTTAAAGTTAAGAGTCCAGTGGCACCTTTAAGACCAACAAAGTTTTATTCAGGATGTGAGCTTTCGTGGGCATGCACGCTCCGTCAGACGATGAAATGGAATTACAGATCATAGGTTTTATATATAGGAGTTGCTTGTTAAATTAGCACGCAAAATAGTGAGGACGCTTTTTTTTAACAGATCAAATTAGCGACAAGCTTAGTTCCTGGTCATCATCTGTTTTGGTTCAACTGGGGGGGGGGACAACAGAGGTAATAAATATGTTAGAACTGGAGATTGATGTGCCCTAATTTGTGAGAATCCCATCTTTAGACCCCATCCATCTCCTTTCAGGCATGGAGGTGACTTTTACAGCATCTTGGCTGTGTAGAGTGTTTTCCTTGTCCCCAAAACAAAGAACTGCATTTAAATCTACTATTCCAAATTGCATTACGTATTCAATTATATTTTTAATTGCTAAGAGTAACAATAACATTTTGTTTCAATAAAACATGGAGTTAACTGACATAATCCTTTACCTTGGGCACAGTGTTATGTCAGAGATCAACAAGATATTGCATTGCCCATATATCCAGACATTTTGGATGCAGATTCTAACACAAATTAAAATCATCACGGGACTTGACTTACCTGTGCTTCCTGAAACAGTCCTGTTGTTGGGCCCCCCCCCCCCCATCCATCTCCTTTCAAGCATGGAGGTGAATTTTATAGCATCTTGGCTGTGCAGAGTGTTTCCCTTGTCCCCAAAACAAAGAACTGCGTTTCAATCTACCATTCCAAATTGCATTACATATTCAATCATATTCTTAGTGGCTCAGAGTCGTAATAACATTTTGCTTCAATGAAACACGGCGTTAACTGACAGAATCCTTTCCCTGGGGTACAGTGTTATGTCAGTGTCTGAGTGTCCCAGGTTCTAGAGAGATGCTCTGGAGATGAATGTTCTGCAAGCAAGGGAGAGAATGTTGGCTATTGTAACTCTGCATGCAAGAGGATCTGGGAGAGGAAAGGGTGGGGAGAATTCTCTCCCTGGGGTACACTTGGCGGTTGGCCCCCACCCTCTCATCGGTTCGATGTTGAGCCTCTTTGGCCCTTGCTGGCCTTCCGTTTTATATGGGGCCTCTCTTCTCTCTCTTACCTGGGCTCGGAGCTGTAGCAGGTTCACCTTTCTGAAGTTAATCCGTTCACGGTAAGTTCAGTGTCCCTACATGAATAGGTCATGTAAGTAGTGCTTCTCTTTTTGTAAGTAAAAATTCTTTCTCCTGTTACCGTTGGAGTCAGATCATCTCTGTCATTTGTTTGAACGGCATTTCCCCCTTAATGGGGAAATGCGGCGGATCGGGGATACTGCGTGAAGCTTCTGTGCTCCCAAGGCAATTGATTTTATTACATTTAACCCAATAGAGAAAAGGTGAAAACAGGGCATTTGGACACCGGTCTGTGGGCAGCACCAAGCCCATCTAGTTAGTTCATTGAAGAAGAAGGAGGAGGAGGAGGAGCAGCAGCAGCAGCAGCAGCCGCCTTGGGGAAGGACGACTGAGAAGGGCACTCACTGCTCACAGTACTGGCCGCTGTAGCCAGGCTCACAGGCCGTGCAGCGGTAGCCTCCGCCCCCCAGGCTCTCACACATCCGCGAAAACCTGCCGGAGGAAAAGGAGACGGCCATCAGCTCTGCCTCTGCCTGCCCCCCTCCCCCCGGGCCAAGCCCTCCCCGCAGCTGATACGCACTGGTTCTCCGGATCAAGCAGTGGGCAGGCACACTGCTGGCAGTCCTCAGGGGTGCCGGCAGTGGCGTCTCCGTAGAAGCCGGGGGCACACTGCTCGCAGAACTCTCCGTCGGTATTATGGAGGCAACTCTGGGGAGAGAAGGGAGGAGGAGGAGGAGGAGGAGGAGATTGGATTTATCCCCCGCCCTTCACTACCCGAAGGAGTCTCAGAGTGGCTTACAGACGCAGATGGGGCTGAGAGAGCTCTGACAGAAACTGATCTTTTTCAAGAACAGCTCTTATCAGAACTACGGCTTGCCCAAGGCCATCCAGCCAGGTGCAAGTGGAGGAGTGGGGAATCAAACCCGGTCCTCCCAGATTACAGTCCGCGCACTTAACCACTACACCAAACTGGATAGACCACCTTTTAAACTAAAAAGCCTCCAAATCTATTTAGAGGAATAAAATACAAAAATACAACCATGACCCAAATCCGGAAGCTTCAGCTGGTGCAGAATGCGGCGGCCAGGCTGTTGATGGGACTCCCCATGCGGGAGCACATCCAGCCTGTAGTGAAAGTTGCACTGGCTACCTGTAGCATACTGGATTCGCTTCAAGGTGCTGGTGCTTACCTTTAAAGGCCTTTATGGTCAGGGACCTACCCACCCGAGGGACCGCCTTTCCCCACATGTTCCCCGGAGAGCACTACGGTCAGGGTCGCAGAATCATCTGGCCTTGAGGATGCTAGGGTGGAATCGACCAGGACCAGTGTTCCCTCTAAGCTGAGTGAGTGTGAGCTAGCTCACAGTTTTTTAGCCCCCAGCTCACAGATTTTTGTCTTAGCTCAGGAAGGAGGGCTCCAGAGCAAACTAATTGATGCAGTAGCCAAATCGCTCGCTCACAACTTTAATGCCAGTAGCTCACAAAGTAGAATTTTTGCTCACAGAACTCCACAGCTTACAGGGAGCATCGGCCAGGACTAGGGCTTTTTCTGTGGCAGCTCCAACTTGGTGGAATGAGCTTCCAGAAGAGATCAGGGCCCTGCGGGACCTTTCACAGTTCCGCAGGGCCGCGAAAACGGGAGCTCTTCCGCCAGGCACTTAGGTAAGGAGCTGCCAATATTATTTCTAGCCTGAGCCCACCAATAGTGGAACTGACCACTGAACGTATGTTTCGTACGCACTTTACCACAGCTGTACTGCCGTCGCTATGTAAATTGTTTTAAATAACTATGTTGTGTGTTTTATACTGATATTGTTTTATTTACTTCTGTTCTTGTGAAAGGCGCCCTGAGCTTGCCTCGGTGGGGACGGTGGGGTAAAGACGATGTGTTAAAGTGGTCAAACTCACCTGCTCGGGCTTCGTTCCACTGCAGCAGCCCAAGAGGAAGAGGAAGATGCTATAATCTTTCCCTCTTTATCCCCAGATGAGCAGCAACAGTACCAAGCGGGCGCCCACGACAGCCACCCAGAGACTCAAACAAGACTACCTGCGCATTAAAAAAGACCCAGTGCCTTATATCTGCGCTGAACCTCTCCCATCAAATATCCTCGAATGGTAAGGATCACGAAACCAGCCCTGCCGCTTACTGACAGAGGAAGTGGGGGGGGGGGCCACGCCTGCCCCGTGGTCTCTTCCGCCCGAGAGCGTTGCACGTCCAAATCATCCTGCGTTCCGTCTCTTTGTCACACCCCGGCGTGACCATAAGATGCCACTTCATTTATTTATTTACATTATTTATAGCCTTCCTTTCAAACTGGGAATCAAGGTGGATGACGCACCTGGGTTTTGGCCGCCGTGACGCAGAGCGTGGGACTAGATGGGCCATTGGCCCGATCCCGCGCGGCTCCTCTAATGTTTTTACGCAGAGTGAGTCAACGCAATCAAGAAGACGGGACATTCAGTAGACAATGGAATAGGGTTTGGGCTTGTCGAACCAACTGTAATTCTAAAAAACAGACCTGAAGCAAGTCATAAATGTGTGAACACGGACACGGCACAATTGAACGAGGCAAAATTACACGACCGGATCCAAACCGTAGCAAACTTAAGTACACAGAAGTACAGACCACCAGTCCCTAATAATTTGTCCGAGTAATTTTGGGAAGCCTTTGGGACCATGCTACCTGTGTAGGAAAGCCCTCTCGAATAATCCAGTTTTGCCTAGTTTGCAGAAAGACAGGAGAGGGGGAGCCCTCATGACCTCCTCGGGCAGGCCGTTCCACGAGGCGGGGGGCACCATGGAGGGGGCACATGTACAGGAAGTTGTTGATTTTGCCCATTTGCAAGTTGGCACCTGCAGAACTCAGGGTGAGGTGAGGTCGGGGAGGGAACCAGCTGCAGCCGGCGGCGTTCTCCGTCTGTGTGTCGCAAGTGCACAGATTGCCTCATTGCTGCGTGGTGTTGCGTGGGGCAAGGTTGGTGTAGAGCCAGTTTGGTGTCGTGGTGAAGTGTGCGGACTCTAATCTGGGAGAACCGGGTTTGATTCCCCACTCCTCCACTTGCAGCTGCTGGATGACCTTGGGCCAGCCATAGTTCTGATAAGAACTGTTCTTGAAAAAGAGCAGTTTCTGTCAGAACGCTCTCAGCCCCACCTCCCTCACAGGGTGTTTGTTGTGGGGTGGGGAAGGGGAAGGAAAGGAGTTTGTAAGCCGCTCTGAGACTCCCTTGGGTAGTGAAGGGCCGGGTGTAAATCCAATGTCCGCCTTCTCCTCCTCCTCGTCTTCTTCCGTCTAAGCTGAGCTAGCTCACAGTATTTAAGCCTCCGGCTCACACATTTTTTGTCTTAGCTCAGGAAGGAGGGCTCTAGAGCAAACTGCCGAAGCCAAATCGCTCGTTTGTAAGCTGCTCTGAGACGCCTTTGGATAGTGAAGGGTGGGGTATAAATCCAATCTCTTCTCTTCTTCTTCTTTAATGCTGGTAGCTCACAAAGAAGAATCTTTGCTCACAAGGCTCCACAGCTTAGAGGGAGCATTGGTGTGGGTGGGTGTGGCTTCAGCCTTCCACAGTCTACGTGTGCCTTTTTAAAGAAAAGGGTTCAAAAATTATTTTATTTAGAACCTTTTTAGGCTGCCTTTCCACCCAGCTCAGCTCCCCCAGAGATGGCAGATGTTGAAAAACATCTGTGTGTATCAAGCACACATATTGCCCCAGGACAGATGTACATATAGATCTGGATGGCTCCCCCCCCCCCTTGAGCGTGACTGGCCTTCAATCTTCTGTAGTCCCCTTTAGAGATAATAAAAAGGTTTCAGTTTTGTTTTTGCATGTGGGTGGGTATTCTGTTTGTAATAATTGTTTGGATACACTATATTTTTAATATGCTAGTTGTGATAATTTCATGCCAAGTAAAAATGTCCATAGTCATATTTTATGTTCCTAAAGTAACAGAATGACTTTCAATCTAGAAAAGACAAAAGAAATGCTAATGTAGCATTTTTTTCAATTTTTCTGAAAATTTCTGTTTTTTCCCGGAAAAAAACACGGTTTTTTTTCCCGAGCTTCAAAATTTCAGGAAATTTTACATCTCTAGTCCCCTTATGTATTTTCCTGAAAGTGGGGAGACAAGAATAATAAGCATTTAGGAAAAAATACCACCTCTTAACAAGTCCTTCCAACTCCATGTTGGATCAAAGGAAAGTTTTGGGGTCACTTGGAACCTCCCAGTACACTGGAGGCTGACAGTTTTCTTCTTGGATATCCTGGAGGGGATTTGAACTGCTGCAGAACATTTTGAGGCCGTCGTAGGCGTGCACACATGAAATGGATCAGGCTTAGGGGGAAATCACTTTCAGAAGACTCCAAATTGGTTGGGGGCTCCCGGGTTCACGAAACATGTGGACTAGCATCAGTGTTGTGCAATTCATTTGTTCTGTCCTAGAATCCCCACAGACCACTGTGCGCAATTTTTAATTGACAAAGAGTCCATTCCTTGGGTCCCTGAATAGTTCAGGTCTAGCAGAGCCATATGGAAACGATGGTAAATCTGTTCTCTTAAGAACGGAAGAAGTCCCTGTGCAGGATCAGACCCTGGTCAACCCAGGTCAGAATTCTTTGCAAGAGCCCTCTCACCAGCTCAGGCGGTCCATCCATGCGTGGAGGTCTTCCTTCTACCCGTCTTGATACAGAGCAATCTCTTCTGTGTAATTTTGCTCTGCCATTTTCAATCTATATATACTTTTTAAGGATGGGAGTAACAGTTCTGCTTTAGTGACTGCGACGGCTTGCTTACATATTGCTCTGCGGGTGCCGTAGCCACTGGTGGCTTGTGACCTTTTGGTACCTCCCACATGCAGTAATTGATGGCTTACCTGGTAGGTCACGTCCAGAGGGGGACATCCCTCCCAGGAGTACGGGGGTCTAAGCAGTACCCAGAGGCAGAGATCTATTTGTAACTTGGTTGTGGGTGATCTCCCCCCTCCCCCCCAGAAATCCGACAAGCATAATGCGAGCTTCCTTGTTTCCCTTAGGCACTACGTGGTACGGGGACCGGAGATGACGCCGTATGAAGGTAAATGCGTAACTGTGTACAATCGAATGAAGAGCCGAGTAGAGGAGCCTTCGGATGGAGGGGGCAGGGCTGAGCTAACTTTTCAGCCGTTGCAACGTGTGTTTCAGCCACGTGTGATGAACAGATCAGAATTCCATTGTGAAATTGGGTGAAGCTTGGTGGCAGATGCCGCCTACGTTTTAATATTTTTTTTAAACTGTTATGGCATGAATACCCAAACTGTCAACCAACTTCTCAGTTTTGGTTCCTCAGAGGGTAAAGATGATGGAAGAAAAGCCATTCTGCGGGCAGGGGAAGGGAACGCCGTGCTCAAAGTGAGCTCAGGTTATCATCCGTGAGCAAACCCCCCAAACATCTCTTGGTGGTCCACTCCCTGGCCCCAGGAACATCTGATAGGCTTCGACCGGAAAGCCCTGGCCCCCACCTGGTGGAATGAGCTCCTGTACGAGATCAGGTCCCTGCGGGATTTATTGCCGTTCTGCAGGGCCTGCAAGACGGAGCTCTTCCACCAGGCATTTGGTGGAAGTGGCGGATGTCCCCCCTCCCTTCCCCAGCTTTTGGTCAGTCACCCACTAGTGGATCCGATTTGACACCTGGATTTGATCCGACATCTGATCTCTCCATTTTTACATGGTATTTTATGACGTTATTCTGTGCAAACCGTCATTTTAACGTTGTTTTAATTGTATTATATTAATTGAGCCCATTTACGGGGAGGGCGGTATATAAATCAAATAAATGAATAAATAGTCTCCCTTTCATTGACCCAGTTCACCTTGCGCCAAACCAATCGGCATCTGTTCTCGATGGCAGCTTTGCTGACACATTTGGCACTGAGTCTTCTGAACAGTCTTCAAGGGCAAGCCTCATGCAGAGTGCATTGCAGTAGTCCAGCCAGGATGTGATAAGAACCTCGATGGCTGATGCTTCTCCCAGGTCCCTATTCCAGCCTTTCTCAGACCAGTACACAAAGCGTGTTTACCAGAGAATTTAAAATGTTCAGTTTTGGGTTTGGGATTTGAAGTGCCCCCAGTAATTGCTGCTTCAGGGCCTGTGATCCCTGGCGAGAAATCCTTTCTGTGCCAGGTGATCTAGAGGGCTGCACCCTTTAGAACAGTAGCATTTAGTCTCTGAGGCCCTCGCCCAGGTCCCGTGAGCCCTTTGGATAGCTCCTGGTGCTTCCCAAGTGAGTAACCGTGTTTTTGTTTTTCTCCCCCATCGCAGGTGGCTATTACCATGGGAAACTGATTTTCCCCAGAGAATTTCCTTTCAAACCTCCGAGTATTTATATGATAACGCCTAATGGAAGATTTAAATGCAATACACGGTATGTATCATTTATGAGGTCAGTTTCTTAGGGACACAATAACTGGTTGGTGTAGTTGGGGGGGACTCGCAAAACCCCACCAGACTAGATGTTTTGGATGACTTTTGAGAGAAAGTGGAGGGGTCAGCCTAGTCCCTTAAGTAAGATTTGTTCTCATTTTTGGATTTTGATGGGGTCCAGTGTTCCCTCTAAGCTGTGGAGTCTTGTGAGCACAAATTCTACTTTGTGAGCTACTGGCATTAAAATGGTGAGCGAGCGATTTGGCTGCTGCATCAATTATTGGCTCTGGAGCCCCATCCTTCCCGAGCTAAGACAAAAATGTATGAGCCAGAGGCTAAAAACCTGCGAGCTAGCTCACACTAACTCAGCTTAGAGGGAACACTGATTGGGTCCCCAAATCTTGCAAAAAGAGGGGCGGTGGCTCAGTGGAAGAGCCTCTGTTTTGCAGGCAGAAGGTCCCATGTTCAATCCCCAGTGTCTCCTGTTAAAAGCATCGGGCAGGAGGACTCCATCCTGAGAGCCAGGGGCCATTTTGTAGAAAAAGAGGTTCAGGAGCTCATTAGCATAACTTATTAGCATAACTTATTTGCAGATGCCACACCCCCGACATCACCGGAAGTGTGTCAGAAGGCAACACCCACCACTCAGGCTCCACTGGACTGTTCTGGATTGCTAGCTATGGGGGGGATGGGCAGATCTGCCCTCACAGAGGAGGGAGAGCTTGTACCTGAATAAACCTTGGCCTTAAAATTGCCACTGGACTGTTTTGGACCGGGGAGCTGAGGGGGGGGGGGCCTCTGCAACTTACCTGGCTGCTTCTTGCTCCTTGTAGCCCGGGGCTGCAGGGGGTGGGGCTTGTTGCATGTGCCCGCCCCCTGGGCTCTTTACTGCCGGAGCTCCTCTCCTGTGCGCTCCTGCAGGAAATGACCCCTGCTGAGAGCCACTGTCAGTTGAGTAGACAGGACCGATCCTGATGGGGCTAAGGGACTGGTTCAGTAGAAGGCAGCTTCGTGGGTGTTGATTCTTTCTCTCCCCCCTGCCCACCATCCCGCCAGCCTGTTCAGCTGTTTTATGCTGTCAGATCCTCAGTCCATCTTGGCCTCTGTGTGTGTATGAGAGTGCATCTAGTTTATTCCTTTTCAGTTTAGAAAAGAGGAGGGATATGATAAGAGGTTTATAAAATTATGTCTGGAGTGGAGAGAGTTGACCCAGAGAGCTTTTTCTCCTTCTCCCAAAATGACTTGGGCTTGAGGGCATCAAACAAAGCTGACGGGCAGTAGGAACGATCGGGGAGAGGAGTGAATGAAATGTGGAGTTCGCTGCCAGAGGAATAAACGGCTTGAAAGGGGGATTACCGGTAGATAGATTCATGGAGGATAAGTCTGTCAGTGGCTACTAGCCATGGTGACTAACGAGAACCTCCACATTCAGAGGCAGTCAACCTCTGAATCCCAGAGCCAGGAGGCAACATCAGGGGAAGGCCTTGGCCTCTCTGCCCTGTTGTTGGCCCTCCAGAGGAACTGGTTGGCCTCTGTGTGAGACAGGAGGCTGGACTAGATGGACCACTGGTCTGATCCAGCGGGGCTGATATTCTTATTGGGAAAGGCCTCGGCCTCTCTGCCCTGTAGTTGGCCCTCCAGAGGAACTGGTTGGGCACAGCGTGAGACAGGAGGCTGAACTACATGGACCACTGGTCTGATCCAGCAGGGCTCTTCTTGTGTTTTTCAGCTTACCTGAAAATGGCTGGGCAACTCCCCACCCCAAGGCCCATCCCAGCCCTGCTGTCCTGGGCCCTCATGCATGTAAAATATGTCCTCTACCCATCTACCATCAAGCTCTGGGTCCTCCCTTAGGACCCCTGTGGGTTCCCAGTGAGAGAAGCCGAGACTGAAAGCCACAAGTTACGCCGATGGCAGTTATTTTAGCAGCTTATTTACTCCACTGATATCCCACGTTTCTCCCCAGCGGAAACCCAAACCTGGGTTATATTTTTTCCCTCCCCTTCTCCATTTATTTTTCACAGCAACCCTGTGAGGTAGGTTGAGAGAGGCTAGTGTGATCTTGTCAGCTCTTGAAAGCTAGCAGGGGTCAGCCTTGGTTAAGGATTTGGATGGGAGACCTCCAAGGAATACCAGGGCCGTGACATGGAGGCAGGAAATGGCAAACCACCTCTGAACATCCTTTGCCTTGAGAATCCTCCAGGATCGCCATGTTGGCTGTGACTGGACCACGTTTTTAAAAAGTGTTTAGAAATATGTAGCGTTATCAAGCAGCAGGCTTAATGGTCATGTTGCATATGACGAAGAGGCAACCCCCTCCTCTTCCTGCTCATCGTTGCTCCCCCCTCCCCCCCGGGCCTGGTATCTTACACGTGCCCTATTTTGGAGTCCTGACCCTTGGTTTAAGAGTCAGTGCCCTAAAGGGTTGTTTTTGACCAGCTGTATGTTATTTCGTATATTTGCCCTTATCTTCCCCCCCCTCAGTTGAACGTGATTTGTAGGGGTGTGCAAAAAAAAATAAATTAGCTTTTTTTCCCAATTCAGGGCTGTTGGACCCCAAAAATATTGGTATTCCTGAATATTCTGAAATACCAGTATCAGTATTGTATTGGTATTTTGGTAAATATTCGGGAAACCACGGTCTCTTCAAATGCCTTCTAGCCGTGCCCAAATTTGTCGGCTTTTATCCAGGCATGGCTATTTCGGTAGCCGAATCAGATTGTCTAATCTGTATTCAGCTGAATAAATACCCGAAAAATTCCAATAAGGTAGTTTTGGGGTATTTATTCAGCTCGGTATATAGTAAGCACACCCCCCTAGTGGTTTGTTTAGTATTTATTACACATTTAGAATCATACACGAACGATAAATCATCTCTTTAGTATTTATTTAGAGCAGTTCTATGTATGTACTTCAACTAAAATCAATCAAAATGGTTTTAATGTTTTCCCCTTCTCCCCCCCCCCCCAATTTGTCTGTAAGTTGCTTGGAACACATATTTGCAAAGCCATCTCCCTGTATGTTTTTGGAATAACACTTTTCCCTCTCTCCTCACAGGCTATGTCTTTCAATTACCGATTTTCACCCTGACACGTGGAACCCGGCGTGGTCGGTCTCGACAATCCTAACGGGGCTGCTTAGTTTTATGGTTGAAAAAGGCCCCACTTTGGGGAGCATAGAAACGTCGGAGTTCACTGTGAGTGGCCTCCTTGGTTAGATGCGTCCTTTTGAAGAAGTTGACTTCCAATTTAATGTTCTATATGTGTGTGCCTAAAAGTCCGTCTGGGCTGCGTACGTAGAAACTCCTGGATGACCTAATAAAGTGTTAAATTGAGCAGGGGTCATCGGGGGGGGGGGAGCAGAGGTAGCTGTGAATTCCCTGCATTGTGCAGGGGGTTGGTTTAGATGACCCTTGAGGTCCCTTCCAGCTCCACGTTTCTAAAGAGACAGGAAGAGATTGCACGTTGTGACTTCTAAAGCTACGTTCCCTCTTTCTGCCCATCTTCTCTGCAAGTCTACCCTTGTCCCCATGCATTATTTCTCTCCCCTTTTGTCCACGAATACAAAATAACACGATCCCATTGCACACATAGTATCTCATGGGTCACAAAGGAAAATTGTCTTGGGAGGGAGGTACGACCCACAAAGATCCTTTGGTGTGTATGTTTAAAAACCTTTCTGGTCTGTTTTTCTCCCCCCCCAAACAGCTCATGAATTTGAAATGCTAAAAAGTAAGAATTAAAAAAATAACATTGCGTGGAAAGGATAAAAACAGCGATCTGGGGTATTGGGGGGGGGGGGAGGCTATTTTCGTTCTCCCCTTGCCAGTCTCAGACGCCCTCCTCGAGAGCACTGGGGTAGATGGTGGCCCCTGTTCTTTGGGCTCAGCACACAAAAGCATGTTTGTCAAGGTCAGCAGGCATGTCTCTCGGTACGGAAGACGGCTGCCTCTTACGACTTCCTCTTTGTCCTTCTCTCTCCACAGAAAAGGCAGCTTGCTTCACAGAGCTTAGCGTTTAACCTGAAAGACAAAGTTTTCTGTGAATTATTCCCCGAAGTGGTAGAGGTAAGGTACAATATTTACAAGCTATCCAGCCACACATGCATTTTAATGTCAATCGCCAGCCTGGGTGGCCCAGGCTAGCCCCAGGTCTTGGAAGCTAAGCAGGGTTGTCCCTGGTCAGCGTTTGGATGGGGGCCAGTTGGGGAAAGACCTCAAGAAACCTAGCAACGTTTTAAGACTCTGCTTCCTGATAAAATCCCCATGGGAGAGGCCATTTCAATGGATAGAAAGATTGTGAGTTTGTTCGTTTACGAGAATTATACCCCAGCCTTCTGTTTAACCGTAAATAGTCGGCCCTGGCCCCTACCTGGTGGAATGAGCTCCCATGTGAGATCAGGGCCCTGCAGGACCTTGTACAGTTCCGCAGGGCCTGCAAGACGGAGCTCTTCCACCAGGCTTTTAAGTGAGGGGGCGAGCATTCACGCCTTATTGGGCTTCCCCTCCAGTGACCCAGACCTGAGTTACCATCTGGAACCCCAATCTGCTGAGGCTTTGGTTAGAAGTATTGGAAATTACAATTTGTATTTCAGCTTTGATGTATTCTAATTGGTAGATCTGGATGGCCCAAGACAGACCAACTTTGTCAGATCTCAGAAGCTAAGCAGGGGCCGCCCTGGGTAGTACTTTTGATGGGAGACCACCAAGGAAGCCCAGGGTTTCTAGGCAGAGGCAGGCCATGGCCAACAGCTTCTGTTTGTCTCTTGTCTCGAACACATCTTGTCTCGAGGACCCCAAGGCGTCATCATAAGCCGGCTGCAAGTCGATGGAACTTTCCACCACCAGCCTACATGACTGAGTGGCTGTTAGGGTAAAGGGGGGGGGGGAGATAGCGGCCTTCGACATTTCCCTGAACATCTTGGGGGAAGAGCAAGGTAAGAATATTTTTAGGCAGCGTTTCCTAACATTTTTAACCTGCTTCTCTACAAAAGAGCTCAAGGCAGTGTGCCTTGGTAATGGCGTGTGGGTTGGGGAAAGACCTCAAGAAACCTAGCAATGTTTTAAGACCCTGCTTCCTGATAAAATCACCATGGGAGAGGCCATTTCAATGGATGGAAAGATTGTGTGAGTTTGTTTATTTACGAGAATTATACCCCAGCCTTCTGTTTAACCATAAATAGTCGGCCCTGGCCCCTACCTGGTGGAATGAGCTCCCATGTGAGATCAGGGCCCTGCAGGACCTTGTACAGTTCCGCAGGGCCTGCAAGACGGAGCTCTTCCACCAGGCTTTTAAGTGAGGGGGCGAGCATTCACGCCTTATTGGGCTTCCCCTCCAGTGACCCAGACCTGAGTTACCATCTGGAACCCCAATCTGCTGAGGCTTTGGTTAGAAGTATTGGAAATTACAATTTGTATTTTAGCTTTGATGTATTCTAATTGGTATTAACTGTTACTTTGTATATTTATGTGACTGTTGACATGGTATGATGGAACCCACGCTGAGCCTGCTATGCGGGGAGGGTGGGATATAAATCAAAATAAATAAATAAAATCCATATCCAACAGTTAACATAAGAGCAGAAGAAGCGCCCTGCTAGATCAGACCAGCGGTCCATCTAGTCCAGCCTCCCCTCTTGCACAGTGGCCAACCAGTTCCTCTGGCGGGCCAACAACAGGGCACAGAGGCTGAGGCCTTCCCCTGATAAGGACATCAGAAGAGCCCTGCTGGATCAGTGAAGATCCATCTAGTCCAGCATCCTGTCTCACACAGTGGCCAACCAGTTCCTCTGGAGGGCCAACAACAGGGCATAGAGGCCGAGGCCTTCATAAGAACATCAGAAGAGCCCTGCTGGATCAGACCAGTGAAGGTCCATCTAGTCCAGCATCCCGTCTCACACAGTTGCCAACCAGTTCCTCTGGAGGGCCAACATACAGGGCACAGAGGCCTAGGCCTTCCCCTGATAAGGACATCAGAAGAGCCCTGCTGGATCAGACCAGTGAAGGTCCATCTATTCCAGCATCGTGTCTCACACAGTGGCCAACCACTTCCTCTGGAGGGCCAACAACAGGGCATAGAGGCCGAGGCCTTCATAAGAATATCAGAAGAGCCCTGCTGGATTAGACCAGTGGTCCATCTAGTCCAGCATCCTGTCTCACACAGTGGCCAACCAGGTCCTCTGGAGGGCCAACAACAGGGCACAGAGGCCGAGGCCTTTCCCTAATGTTGCCTCCTGGCTCTGGGATTCAGATGTTGACTGCCTCTGAACGTGGAGGTTCCCTTCAGTCAACATAACTAAAATTAAAAAATGCAAGAATGTTCCCTTCCCAGAATCCTCTGCTATGCTCAGGGGTTTCATGATAGGTACTGATTTGAAATTGTTTCCCCAAAGACACAGTCTGAAATACACTGATTTGTAGATCCAAAGGCTTGTTTCACCCATGCCACGGAATGAGATTTGCTTCGGATGGCTGAGGGCAGAATCTCATTTTGGGTGTTCTTTAAAATGCTCCTCTGCATTTTTTTTTTAAACTCACTTCCCCGCAAGTAGAAAACGAGTACATTGGGCTTCAGAATGCTGATGCACCAGCTGTCTTCTTGCAGGAACTTTTAAAAAATCAAGCAAAACCTACGAAGGGCCTCGCCTGCAGAAATGCATCTTACCACCTTAGGCTCTCTTAGGCTTGTTCAGCAGTCAACTAGATTAAGTATTAACTTCCACTGAGTTTTTCTTTTTCTCCTCCTCCCCCATCTTTTTCCACTCTAGGAAATCAAGCAGAAGCAAAAGGCACAAGAAGAGCTCCACAGCCGCCCCCCGGCCCTCCCGCTGCCCGACGTTGTTCCCGACGGGGAGACGCATCACGGCCAGAATGGGCTGCCGCTCCTCAACGGGCACGTGCCATTGGCTGCCGCTAACCACCCGGGCCTCCAGCAGGCCAATCGGAACCACGGACTCCTGGGCGGAGCTTTGGCGAACTTGTTTGTTATAGTCGGTTTCGCAGCCTTTGCCTACACGGTCAAATACGTCCTGAGAAGCATAGCGCAAGAGTGAGGGCGCCCTGCACCGGTTCCATGACCAAATTAGTGGTAGTGGCAGCAAAATCAAAAAAGCGCATTTTGGGGACACTCTCTGGGTATCAGACTTCCAACCCCGGGATAAACAATGTGATGTACAGGTAAAAACAAAACTTGGTTTGGCTCATGGGTTTAGTTTGGGGGAAGGAGGAAGATAGCAGTTTAAAAAAAAATAACTTTAAGATTGGAAGCAGACACCATTGGGATTGAGCAGATAAAGAAGAGGGGTTGACATCCACTCCCTCCTCCCCAAATGCCCAGTTTTCCTCTGAAGAGTAAAAAGAGCAAACCCCAAAGTTTATGAGCCCACCAACGGATTTTCTGTGGCGATGTTTGCATTGGTATCAAAGCCCCATTTATGTCTCCAGAAACGCCCACCGTTTTCCAGGTACCCCCTGGGGGTTCCCAGAGAAGTGGAAAGTCAAAATGGGGGAGGATGGAGATTAATTCTTCCACTCCCACGGCTTTCTTTATCCTCTCCCTTGCCCTTTGCCTCGGGGAGCCACTAGTTGCAAGGAGCAGAGGAAAATCCCCCAGCTGGGGAAGGGTCCGGTGGCCTTTCTCCCTTTCAAATACCCCCTTCCCCTGAGTCACTCCGCTGCTGTCATCCGGTTCCCCCCTTAGCCCATGAAAGGATGAATAGAGACAGGATTCTCCAGGAAGCGTCGGGCGAGAGTCGGCACCGTTTCCTTTCCAATGGGCCACGTGGCGCGGATCTAGCTACGCGTAAAGTTTTGTTTTGCATTAGCGTTAGAGGTGAGGGGGAAACAATTTTTTTGTCCCGCTCGTGCCCCGCAAGCGTGGCGGCTGTGAAACTTGGTGCTAAAAGGGAGGGAGGAGACGGTTCATTTCGTAAAAAGGGAACCTGGGTGGACGCCCTTTACTGTCTGGCGGTAATCATGGTGATCGCGGCACTGTCCCGGATGACACGGTGTGCGTTTTGAAGTATGCATGTCCTTTGTCTCAATTTGTCAGAATGATGTAACTTTTTTTTTTTGGGTTGCTTAATCTGGGCTGGCAGGAGCTGTGCTGCACCCAGTTCACCCAGAAGCCAGCCCAGCGGACCATGAAACCGGGGCCCCATCGTGTCTCGCGGGCGTTTTTGACGCAGGATCTTTCGAGTTTGTACTCGGCGGTGTTCAGTTCTCGAGAAGGAATCCCCCCCTTGCTTTTAACACGTGCCTTCCGGGTTGCAGCTGGCCGCCGGATGTTACCTTCTTTTAACATTTGATTTTAATAAAGAGAAAATCCCGAGCAGATGGTCTTGGAAAGGATTCGGGGTTAATCCCTTTGAAGCTGGGGGTGCCGGGAAGCGAAAGCACGACGGATCGCACCACTGAGTTCTCGGGCGACTGTGAAGGTCCCTGCCCTGACCCCAGTCGTTCGTGTCGGTAGTCCGGCTCCTATCTCAGTTTGTGCGATCGGCAGAAGCAGTCGGGCGGTGCTTCTCATGAAGGTGTGTGTGTTTTGTGTGTGTGTGTGTGGGGTTTCCCTCTGAATGATCTCCTTTTCCACCCCCCCCTTGCTTATAGAAATCCAGTGTGTCAGGGAGAAGGGATTCTCCCACGAGGAGTTTGTTGTCAATGTGACGGGGTGCAATTCAGAGATGTCGTCTTACCCCTTAACCTGAAGTGAGGGGACGTTAATGGGTTGCACCTACCAGTTTGCAGAAGCCTGTTCGTAGTTGCGTAGCCCCAATTCCTTTGGGGCCGATCTCCCACCCCTGGCCCTGCGAGGGTGGGGGGAAGCTGAACCACTCGCACCGCCTTTGGGTGGGGGGAGGCGCTGTTTCAGCAGCCCTGTGGTCCACCCAAATAGAAGAGCAGGGGAGAACTCTACTAGAGGTCTTCCCGTAACGTGCATTTTAATAGCTAGCCGGGGAGATGGCTCGTGGTTGAGAGAGTTGTGTGTGTGTGGGGGTGCATCTGCTGGGTCCTTCCCCCAAATTTTGCCTTGGCTCATAGGCAGACACCAGTGCCTTTCCGAACTGTCACCAACTCTTCAGAGCCCCTCCGGGAAAGTGAGGCCTTCTCCGAACGGTTCCAGATTTGTTAAAAACACACGGCGTCAGACTTAGAACCTGATACGCTCACGCTTTTAATCCTTCCTCCGCTCAATAAAAGTTACCTCCTGTGTTCTTAAGAATGCAGTATTTCCCCCCCCCCCATGCCTTTTCAGACTCCAAGCGGCCGGTTTTACCTTTTTTTGTAGCTTAAAAGGAGAGAGAGCTTTGATCTCTGCTTGGATGGGATAATTTGAGGGATCTGTGAGAAGGCGGGGTGGTGGTGGTGGTAGCCATGGTGGGGCGGGGGGGGCGAGCACAGTTTGCTAGCGTTAAATAAACCCATGAGCCATTTAGGGTAGCAAAACAGTAAATAAGATGCTTTGACCAATTTCTTTGCAGTAGGTATGGATTAGGCAGTGCCAACTGGATAGATCCATTCAGTGGAAGGAAACCTCATAAAGAGATCTTGTTGTTGGGAGGGGCTGGGAACGGCGGAGGGGGGTGGAGCGGAGCGTGTCGGGGATGGCGTCAGATCTGTATTTATAAAACACTTTGGAGATTTTAGGGTGGTTTCTTTTCCCCTTCCTTTTTAGGGTGGTTTTTTCCTTCCCCTTCCTTCCTTTTTTTTGGATCAGATTTAATTTATGACTGTTCTTCACCTCAGCTTCCTGTACACGCTTTTTCATCGGCTCTCGTCCCGAGAAGATCTTAATGTATCTCTGTTTCTAGAAAGGCTTATGTTTTCTCTGTTGTCAACAGAAGCGAGGCGTCTCTTTTTTCTCTTTAACGTTCTGGGGGGAGGGGGGGGTAGATCGGGAACCACTGGGAAAAGGGTCTTCAAAACCACATTCTGGAGAAATCCCTCCAACTCCCCGGTAGTTTATCCAAGGCCTCTTCAATAAGAGATTCGTTGGCGTGCAGGATTCTCCGAGACGGCATGATCGTCACTGTGAATCTTCCTTTGCAGCGTGCAGGAGAGTCCCACACATTCCAAAGTGTGCTTTCAGTCTGTACAGAATGACAGTGAGACCCAGTAGCCAGGGCTGTGGTATTCAGGTGGCCAAACTTCAGATGGTGGCTGGAGTTCTCTTGGGATGACAGCTGATCTCCAGGCCACAGATCAGTTTGGCTGGAGAAAATGGCCGCTCTGGAAGGTGGACTCTGTGGCATTATATCGCATTGAAGTCCTTCCTCTCCCCAAACCCCGCCCTCCTGAGGCTCCGCCCCCAAAATCTCCAGGTATTTTCTAACCCGTAGCTGGAAACCTTGCATAGCCTGTTCTTTGAACAACTCAGGAGAGCCAGTTTGGTGTAGTGGTTAAGTGTGTGGACTCTAATCTGGACTCTAATCCTCCACTTGCACCTGGCTGGATGACCTTGGGCAAGCCATAGTTCTGTCAGAGCTGTTCTTGAAAAAGAGCAGTTTCTCTCAGAGCTCTCATCCCCACCTACCTCACAGGGTGTCTGTTGTGGGGGAGGGGA